TCTTTAAAACAACCTATTTAAAGTAGAGATGCAGTTTTTTTTAAGGCTGATTTCATTACAGATTACAGTATTTTGACCAGTTTAACCAATCCTCGAAATGTGCTGCCAATGTTTTGAGCCAATTCTTTCTCTTCCTCAATTTACATGATCAAATGACAAAGGGATAAAAGTTGCACAAGAGTCAAATTTAAACTAGAAATGATCATTTGTATTTTAACAATGAATAGCAGATGAAGGGAGCCGCAATGAGTGTGCATCAGCTGATTTCAAGGCATGGCTTAACATAACTTCTTTGTGTTTACACTTGTGTATACAAAATAAATCTGTCTTATTCTAATGGCTACTGAATGCACTAATGAATCGATATTACACTAATGCGATATTGGCTAAGTATATCTGCAGGATGATGTGTCAGTCTTGCTCTAGTCTGAAAACATAATGTTACGTAAAACATTTCAAAAAGCAACTTTTCTGGCCTTGATTTTAAACAAGTTCAAGAGCAAATGAGAATGCTGTCTGTTAGGCTGGAGAGGATTACAAAGCCTTCAAATGTGGACATCAGTGCAGCAAGAGCAACAATGTTTATATGGAGGAGACATAGAAGAGTTTCAAGCCTATGAAATCAGTCCAAAATAGCTTTAATGACTCAGCCAAAGGGTCATAATAGACCCCAGTAAACATGGAAAGCCTTACCTCAAAGACAGCTGAGGTTCATGATTGAACAATACAAGAGAAAAACAACAACAACAAAAAAACATACAGCAGAATAATTCAAAAGAAAAACAAAGAATCCCATTTTATATTGGCTAAAAGGTTTATTAATGATCTTCAAGAGTTTTGAGAAAATATCCTCCGTATTGCTAAGAGAAAAAATGAAAGTTACCCACAACATCGAGCTGCATTCTGTTCAGCACTTTAAAGATTAGCCATAAGTGATATTACCTTGAATAAAGCTCTCAAGCAGAACATCTTAAAAAAGAGAATTTCCAATCATCAGTTTTCTGACCTTAAACTTGATCACAATGTAATTCTTCAGCAGGACAATGAACCAACTCTTGCATTTCCCCCTGAGTGGCAAAGAAACATAAAAATTACAATCTTGAAGAGGCCTAGTAAATATTTAGACTTACATACATTTAAGATGCAAGAATATGGCCTTGAAAGTTTGACTCAACATCCACAATTATTCACAATTTTGACTTATTAGACTCAATAAAAACTATCAGAAAGAAAAATAACATTTGTTGCCATCTAGAGTGACACAACCACCAGTTGAATTATTTTGTTTTAACTAAGAATTATTATTTTCAATTCAAAAAATAACGTTTTTTCTTATTGGAAAAACACTTCTTAATTTACTTATGTTCTCTGTGTCTGAAAATTTGTTAGATGTTTTAAAAAATGTAGCACTACTACATTTTATATACACCCTCTGTATATGTATTTTTTTTCCCATATCCTGAACCTTTTTTTAATTTATTATTCTATCTTGTTTTCATTCTAAGGTATCCAGACTATGAGTTCATCAGTGATAACTCCATCTCGTGGTCAGCAGGCCTTCATAACCGTTACACGGAGAACTCACTGAGAGGAGTCATCCTGGACATCCACTTCCTGTCTCAGACAGATTTCCTGGTTTGCACGTTTTCTTCCCAGGTGAGCTAACTGCTGTTCACACTCAGCAACGGCTTCAAATGGCCACTGTGTGAATTCAAATATGAAATTAAAAAGACTAAATATAATTTAATGAACCGTGAGAAAATGGAGAAATCTAAGTTATGGTTGTATATTGCTTGAGATGTAGGTGTTCCTTTACTACTGCAGGTAACGAATCCTCTTGCACTGTAGTATTTGTATTATGGTGCGTTCGCCCTGAACGCATTTTGGGTATCAAAGCATCTTTTTTACATGAAAGGCCTTTGGAACTGTGTCGAGAGGGCCAGAGGTGCATCCGAGCCTCGGGAGAGGCACATCCGGGTCTGAGCGCTCTGCTGTCCGAGCATCCGAGCGTTTGGTGCTGGAAGCTACAAGGAAAGGACAGTTATTTTTCCAACTTACCAAAGTGAATAAAGCCAAGCTGCTCTTTAGCTTGTGGCTACAGAACAGAGGAGATAAGTTAACCAGCATTTGACCCACTGTCCAAATTTCGGCGTTTATGCGTTTTTTGAAGCCCAAAACGTGGCCGGTGTGAATGCGCCTTTAGAAATTATACAGTTCTAAACAACTATATGATTTAAAATTGTCTAGAGCTGTATTTTATGTTTTTTTCTAACCTTTCAGTACAAACAGAATCAGATTAGAATCTGGTTTTCTGGTAGCTTCCCTACATCTGTGGGACATTAACTTACAGATCATTCATTAGAAATGAGACCAGAGTAAATATTCCTTTATAGAACCATGGAAATGTCATGCAAGGCAAACGTCCCTCCTTAAATACAGAAAAATATTTCACAGTTGAATGAAATGAAAACAAAGAGTTGTTTTGAAATTTGTCACAAGCCAAACTGGAACAGCTTCATTAAACAAACTCATGTGATTTCCAACAAGCCCATTGTTCTATTATTCCTCACATGTTTCAAAGCACAGAAACTGTTAACCCATTTACTACATCTTTGATGTCATATCGAATATTTGATTAGCTTGGATTGTAAAGGCATGAAGTATAAAAGCCTTATTTCACTGCTAAAGTTTTAGTGAAAACTTCTTAATTCCTGCTTACATCCCGCTTTATAAACCTACATCAAAGATCTTAACCAGAATGAGGTGCAAGGTTGTTTTATTGTGCATCTCTATCCTATAGCAAGGAATAAGGCTTTGTTGTTGCACAGATATCACCACACTTAATCTTTTGAATTTTATTTTTAATTACAACCACAATCTTAAATGTATCATATTAGCATTTTATTTGGTGGATTTACAAAAAGCAGTCTGGATGGACGTATATAATAAAAATGTGATTACTTTTTAAATTTTTGTTGAACAAAAAAACCAAACTAACGGCATCCCTTTGTACTCTGTCAGCCTGAATCAATACCCTATATTTATAACTAGATTTCTTTTAAAACATCGATGCAAAACTCAAAAGTTGTATCTGACTACAATACAAATTTTGCATATTTAGTGCATATTTTGCTATTGTGGATTTTAGATTCATATAATACCTTAGACAGCCTTATAATATTGGGAAATTGTAATATGTTTAGGTTATGTATTTTGCATTTTTTTGCACAATTTTTTTTCATCTTGAGCTGATTTTTTTTTTTTACTTCTCTATAATTTTCTCCCTGATTTGGGTCACTTTGTGTCCATGATGCTGTTTGTTCACTGATGTACAAACCTCGGTGGCCTTCGAGGAATAGATGGATTTACACTGAGATTAAATTAATTAAAGGGGTTAATAAAAGTTTTATTAAAAAAAGATATCTCAATGAAACATTTTGACGTCTGTCGACATGTGGTCAAGTCCAAATGTTTATTTTTCTATCTGAAATAATCCCTACTTGGACTTTTTTTCCCAGGTTTGCCGTGTGGCCTATGAGATCATGCAGACGCTCCATCCGGATGCCTCCTCCTATTTCTACTCCCTAGATGACATCTACTACTTTGGAGGCCAGAATGCCCACAATCAGATCGCCATTTACCCACACCAGCCACGCAACAGCGAGGACATTCCCCTGGAGCCCGGTGATGTGATCGGCGTGGCCGGCAACCACTGGGACGGATACTCCAAAGGCATCAACCGGAAGCTGGGCCGCACCGGCCTCTACCCTTCATACAAAGTCAAGGAGAAAATTGAGACAGTGAAGTACCCACTTTACCCTGAGGCAGACAAACTGCTCAACTCTCAAAACAAGTAAAAAAAAAAAGAGGATCATACGAGGAAAAAAAGAAGAATATGAAGAGACACAGTCTCCATTTCCAGGGAAGGAGGCTTCTTTTTTTGTACAGAAGAAAGAGGCGTAGTCGCTACGCTAAGCTGAGAAGAAAAGAAAAATCCTGCACCCAGGGGTGATAGGAACAAAATGCACTCTGTATGTATGTGTATGAGCAAGTTTGACTTTTCTTTCGTTGAACTTGAGTGGGTGTGTGTGTGAGAGTGTGTGTGCACTTTTGTAAATGCCTGTGCATATGTCAGGTCATGGAAGACTCGCACCTCTCTGCTCCCTCCTCCCCAGTGCCCTCACCTTGGCGTTCTGACGTCAGGTCTGTAGAGATACTTAGACGTGAACATTGATTTTTAAAACAAAGCAAGAGGAGAGAAAAAAAAAGCGATTAAGATCTCCACTTAAACGGACCGAGCCATCCGTCCTGAAACGAGACTGGGATTACTGTAAACCAGGCACACCCCTTTTGAGCTTCAAATCCCTGACTGAAGAAGCAAACAAACAAAAAAAAAAACAATGACGTGTTTTGATTTTAATTTAATTATTTCCAGTGCTTTTGATTCTAATCTTGCCTTTTTTTCCCTCATGTATTTTTCTTTATCTATTGTTTACTGAATGTACTGTATCCTCTTGCCATGCTTCGTCATCTCACCATGCTTCCTCCATTTCATGTTATCATGTGCAATTAATTTTACAGAAACCACATTGTGCTTTTATCGAGTGTTTTAATGGTCTTAATTTTGTGTGTCTGGGGCTAATCTATTGTATACTGTACAGTGAGTGTGTGTGTGAGGAAGAGTGAAAGGCAAATAGGAAGTGTTTGATCATGTGTGCCTGTGTTTGAGGTGCAAGTCTAAGGGGCCATGTCATGACCATGTGTCCGATTATTGGTTTTTTATTATTTGACTAAAGAGTTTACAGGAAATAGAGGCCCTCTGATTGGCTCTTAACACTTGGATGGAACCCTGAAGACCAGTCACTCCACTGCTAATATAACAAACAATGATAAGTTTGAGAATAGTGAACTCATGGTGCAGCGACACAGGAGCCGTCCAGGAGGCTCACCAAAACATAGCACTCTGATGATGATTATGTCCTTTTTTGGCAGTATTGCCCTCTCCACCATTGTTTATTTCCTTTTTTTTTAACTTTGCTTAAAAAAAATAGGTGTTCGTTTTTTTTCAAGTGCTATTTCATATCAACCCTCCCCCCCACCACCACCACCACTATGAAGGCTGTTTTCATAAATTATGTTCTTGGGCATTGTCTTTGATAACCACAAATCAAATAAACTTGAGAAACACATTTTCCTTCTGCTCTGAGCTTCTGCTTTACCTTCTGCAACCGTCCATGATTCCCTGTAATGGACTGGGGACGCACCCGGAGCGGGCCCCACCTCTTACCTGGTGATTAATGAGTAGATTAAGCAGGTAATAAATGTATAGTCCATTCATTTATCATGTTTATCCTTGGTTTCATCTTTTAAAATCTGTTTTTATTCTGACAGCAGGTTCTTCTTGTTCTTTTTCCCCCAAAAAACCTAGTTAGCTATCAAGTAGATGTAGTCGATTTACTCAGCATACAGCTATGTTGGTTCTGTAGTTACTTAGATGTCAGAATCTATTGTTTTTTTATCCAGCATTAATAGGAAGGTAACATTGAAGGGGAGAAACTCAAATTCCCATTCCCCATAAGACAGTTCACTTCATTGTGGACATTCTCACAACCAGTCAATATATATGGTCCATTCAGCATATTTGGGGTCTGACCAGAGGTCTCCTACCAGTGGGACTGGTGAAGAAAACCTTCAGAGAAAGTATTCCCTTGATGCAGAAGAGCAGTGGCTCTACTTCAACCTTCATCCCATGGTGCAGCCCCTCTAAGCTACAGTCTAGCAGCATTAATGGAGAAATGACTTCATCATATTAGTCCATTTGCTACTCTATCCTACAATTTCTAGTGATACTTGAAGTCTTCTGCTTGAGGCGGAGCAGTCCAGCAGACTTTGAGTGCGGACTCACATCATAGTTACTTCATTGTTTCCTGAGACAGGTCATGATGTGGAGACACAAACACACCACATCACCTGAAACAACTAAAAGCAGAGCCTTTTATTTAGAAAAAAAAAATAAAGATTCTCCATGTGTGACATCCTATCTATAAATCCTAAAATCAGGATCAGACACAAGAAAGAAGCCCTGGTGGGGTCCAACCCTAATTGGCAACTAGACCAACTTCTTGCTTAATATTTGCTTTGTGTATGCAATGACTACAGTATACCCTAGTGCCCCATACACAACTCAGACAAATTTTCCAGATGGACTCACCAAAAATTCATGTGGAGCAGACACACAAAAGTAAAGAATCAATAATAACCGTGCACACCTCCTCCTTCAAAGGCTCCATGATTTGTCAGTTTTTTTCCAGTCTAGAATAAAATCTCTCAGTGGAAAGCAGTGTGATACTTAACTATTAGAATAAACCCCTTTGTTAAAAGAAGTTAGAACCATGACTTCCAGTCTTGGACTGCCCTGGTGCCATCTCAATGAGGCATGTCAACCTCAGCACCCTAACATCGTACAGAACTGTTGGCATTCTTCAGTCAATCTGATTCACTTAGGGACCTGTCACTATGGAGTTTTTACGCCACATGTGCAACCGTAACTATGATGACAGACTCTCTGTCTTCTCCATGGATGAGACATTTACCGCATTGAGGGGTGTCTGGTTTCCACCCCGTTTTATAGTATCAACCCATTTTATTTGCAGACTTCCTCAAGGCTGTCCATCTATTTTTTAGAAGTAAAAAGTCTTTATCTGAAGTTAATCTTTTGATTTTTTTACACAAGACAGGGACACAGGCACGAAAACCCCTTTTCATTAAGTGTCAAAGGATTAGGTTTACAACATCAAAAAGTGCCACTAGTTAGGGTTGCAAAATGGGTTTTCCATCATTTCAAAGCCAAAACTCTTTAACATGTTGTGTATTTACATTTCAAACTGAGCGCCTTAACAGACACTTGCTTTTTTTAAGTATAGGATGTGACAGGTGCATGACATTTCTGCTTTACGTTCCAAAATGCTTCTCGCCATGTTGATAAAGCACCAGAAAAACTTCCTGCTGTCATTTAATGTCCCATTTCCGACATCCTGCACTTCCCAGTCGTTTTTTATCTTGTTCAGTGTGTCTTATTTATGGACTGTCTTGTTATTTTGTTACTCTAGGGTTCTTTTGGGGGAGTTTCATTACAGATCCCTCTTTAATTTTAACTGATCTGCATGCTTCATTGGATGCCCATAAGGAAAATCACAGAGCGGTCAGAGAAGATTAGCTTTTGGTGTGAGTGAGGAAGAATAATAGTTTTGTTTTGTTCCCACTTAGCTTCGATACACAATGTGTGACCAATTCCATCCTTGTGACAAAGCATTCCCAATGTAGATGTAGCAATGAACATCTCTTTTCACTGGAAAAGCATCCCATGCGGGGTTTATAAATGCGCACACTAACTGGAGGGCACTTTAATTAAAATACACTCGTCGCTGTCATAGCAGCCTGTTACACTCATTTAAGAGAGACGTTAATTCAGTTAATTATTCTGTTAATTGGCCAGCGCTTCTGATAGAGAACACTCAGTTTCTCAACAGGCGGATTTCTTTCTTTGTTTTTCTGCTCTAATTAAAGCATTACTTGTTGAAAGCACATAAGCTATTTGTGGGCCTCCCACATTGAGTCATGGCTTAAAAGGGGAACCTTTTTTAGAGACATGTCAGAATGTTCAACTTCCCCCACTGGTTTGTTTCTAGTGTGTCATAAAGCAATACATGTCATAGATACCCAGAAATAGCAGGATGTTCTTTCTTCGCATTCTTACTGTGAAGCAATGTTTCTACCTTGGTTTCTCTCCACTTAGCTTTGTTTTTAGTCTGCTGTAATAAACTCAGAGACTCTCTAGAGAATACATTTGAATGGCAAGAACTGGTGTAAGGTGTGCACACATTGCTAAAACAAGATTAAAAGTTAGTGTATTGCTATTTTTTAAGATAGTTCTACTTGCACTGTAGTTCCTCTAGCATTGTCACCTGTTACCATTTTATATTTTCCCCTGCACTCGTTGCTTGGTTAGAAATACTTGCATCAAAAGTTAAGAAAATTAAAAAAAAGATTATAATATATTTTTTTTAAGTTTTGTCTTAAACTATGTCTTGCCTGTTGTGCAGGATAAATTAACCAATTAACCACAGCTGAGTTTCATTTGCCACATCCAGAACTGTTGGAATAAAAAATAATAATAATACTGTGAATCAAACACCACAAAGTGCTTCAGTCTAATGAAACCAAACATGATGAAGAAATTCCGAATAATACAAACAGGTTAGGACACTAAATCCAAAGCGGTTCACCATTAAAAATGCTACTCAAATAGTTCTGGCAGTAAGAAAGGAGATAGGAAGAGGAAGCAGGATGCTTCCTAGTTAATTTAGTTTAGTTAATTTAGCACAGGGATCTCTTGACATTCCTGTCCATTGCATGGGAGCTATAGGGTTTCCCACAATCCATTGGGTGAAAGGACACAGGCCCACTTCATGGAGTTGATGAAAATGCATTATTTCTTCACATGTACTCTGTGACAAATGCAAATGTGCACACCTTTTTGGTTTTGGGTTTTACGTAAAATAGTTGTTCGCTTCATTTGTGTAACTTTCTGTTTTTGTTTTTTTAGTTCTTTTCTGGAAGGCTGTAGTCCCAATTTAGCGAGCATCATCCATGTGAGAGTCTGTTGCCAAGTGACATCAGTAAGGCTAAAAGCTGTCTGGATTCAGAAAAGCAATGCAGTATTCCCTTCCTGCCAGGGGACAGTGTTCTTCCCACTGACCACCTGAAAGGCAGAGTGATAGGAGCTAGGAACAGGAGGTAGGAGCTACAATTTGCACTATTCTGAAAAAGCCATGTTTTCCTCATAATGATCAGATTATTAGACTGAGGTATACTGAAGCCGAGGTACATCTAAAAGGCGCAGTACACTGGACCTTAAAGGTATTGTGGAGTATTTTTTTAAAAGACCTGCCCTCTCCTTTCTAAAAAATGGGCGTGCAAGAGTATGCACAAGCCCATTGCATGCACATCCTGTTTCAAATGTGCTGTTCTCATTTCTCATACAAGCTTACTGTGTCCACATACAGTGGGGACTATGTAGTGGACTATGCCCTCCATGATCAGCAAGGACGACTACTGCCAACCATGAAAAGCACACCTCATATAAATCTCTTCATGGTCCCCAGGACCTTTGGGAAAACATTATGTTGTGTAATATCAACAAAGATGAAAGGGAAAGTTTTTTAGGAGTATATCCTGCTATGCACATCAGTCCATCAGAGTGTAATCTTCAGCTCAAACACACTTGGGGGATAATGCAACACAATAATCCAAAGCACAACAGTAAGCTTACCCCCTGCACATAAAAAATCCTGGGAGTAAGGTGGGAACCAGCAGAATGAGTAATCTACTGTTTTTACCTGGTGGTATACAAAGTGGATATTAAAAACACATGTTGGGCAATCTATTAGATTGACACAAGAACCATTTTACACAGCAAACTTGAGCCATTTTTCTTAACCCTGGTCCTCAAGGCACCTGGCCTGCATGTTTTATATGTTTATCTGATAAAACAAGCTGGGAAACATCTAAAACATGCAGAATGATGAGCCTTAAGGATCTGGGTTAAAAACACTGCCCTGTGGTACCTCAATCACAAACTAGCATTGCAAAAAGAAAAGAACAAAATTGAATGATTGTAAGGAAAAAAGTCAAATGAAGGATAAGGTGGACTAAATAAAGTCATAAGGGAGAAGAGGGTGAGTTTGTTTTAATAGCTCTATAGCAGGGATTAGTGTTATTTACAGTTTGATTGATGTATATGCAACACTGTATACCAAAACATTTATTTTTTATGAATTGTGGTACCAGTGACCTTTTTTTTTTTAAAATCAACTGGAAAAGAAGAAAGGCAGAATGAGAAGAGAACATCCAATAAATGGTGTTTGGCAATATTCTGCAGTTCCAGTTCCCGAGATCAGGTATCCTGCACCTTTTAAATGTGGCTCTATTTCAACACACCTGAGTCAAATAAGCAAGTCATAAGAATAACTCCGGGGGAACTTGACAGCATACCCAGAAGGAAATTTGGCGATTTGAATCAGGTGTGGACATTTAGATACCATGTTACAAAACTATGTATTTCTACTTACTTTTACAATTCGAACATCAGCTCTGTTCTTCTTAGGGAGAAGAATAGCTTACCATCATC